ATGCCGATGATAGTGATGACGACGAAGATGATGATGATGATGATGATGATGATGATGATGATGATAATGATGCTGATTAGGATGATGATTCTGATGATGATGATGATGATGATGATGGTGGTGGTGATGATGAACATGATGCTGCTGATAGCGAATGTTATGCTGATGATGAGGATGGTGATGATGATGATGATGAGGATGACGACGATGATGGTAGTGGTGGTGTGGATGATGCTGATCATGCTGATGATGATGATGATGACGAGGAGGTGCCGGAGGAGGAGGAGCGTGGGAGGAGGAGGAGCAGGAGGAGGTGGGAGGAGGAGAGGCATGAGAAGGCGAGTCATGATGATGATGCTGAGGATGATGCTCATGATGATGCTGATGATGATGATGATGCTGAGGATGAAGAGTACGATGATGTTGATGCTGATGAAGACGATGATGATGATGCTACTGATGATGATACAGACGATAACGAACATGATCACGATGACGAAAACGAAGACGATGCTGGTGATGTCGATGCTGATGATGATGATGATGCTGATGCTGACGATGATGATGGAGTTGATGCTGATGTTGATGTTGATGGTGGTGGTGATGATGATGATGATGACTGTGATGATGATGATGATGATGATGATGATGATGATGGTGATGGTGATGGTGATGATGCTGATGCTGATGCTGATGATGATGATGATGATGATGATGATGATGATGATGATGATGATGGTGACTGTTGATGATGCTGCTGCTGATGCTGATGATGTTGGTGATAGCGATGGGGCTGGGGATGATGATGAGGATGATGATGACGGCAATGATAATGGTGATGATGATGATGGTGGTGGTGGTAGTGATAGTGATGATGATGATGATGATGATGATGATGATGACGATGATGATGACGATGGTGAGGCGTGTGAGTATGATTATCACGCAGAGGTGGAGTTGGAGGAAAGCGGGAACAGGAGGAGCAGGATGAGGAATGTTGGCTGATGAGATGCATGATGAGGATAGGCATGAGCTTGAGGATGATGACAATGATGACGACCGCTGTGCTGATGATTATGATGCTTATGATGCTGCTGATGATGATGGTGATGATGATGAACATGATGATGCTGATGCTGGCGATGATGTTGATGATGCTGATGCTGGTGATGCCGATGGATGTTGATGACGATGGACGGTGGACGATGGATAATGATGATGCTGATGATGCTGATGCTGATGCTTGTGCTGCAGATGGTGATGATGATGTTGTTGTGTATGGGGATGCTGATGATGCTGATGATGATGCTGATGATGATGATGATGCTGATGATGATGCTGCTGCTGCTGCTGCTGATGATGATGATGATGATGATGATGATGATGATGATGGGTTATGGGTGATGGGTGATTGATAATAATGCTGATGCTGCTGCTGCTGATGATGATGGTGATGCTGGTGTGTTTGTTGTTGTTGATTGACACTGCACTGTGCCACCCGGCCCCCCCACCCAGCAACCAGCAACCAGCAACCCAGCCGCTGGCGCGCCTGGCGTGTGTGGCGCACCTGGCGCGCCTGGCGCCCCTGGCGCACCTGGCGCACCTGGCGCACCTGGCGCACCTGGCGCACCTGGCGCACCTGGCGCACCTGGCGCGCCTGGCGCACCTGGCGCGCATGGGGCACCTGGCGCACCTGGCGCGCCTCGCGCACTTTGCGCGCATGGCGAACCTGGCGCACTTGGTGCACCTGGCGCACCTGGCGCACCTGGCGCGCCTGGCGCACCTGGCGCGCATGGCGCACTTGGCGCACATGGCGCACCTGGCGCACCTGGCGCACCTGGCGCACTTGGCGTATCTGGCGCACCTGGCGCACCTGGCGCACCTGGCGCACCTGGCGCACCTGGCGCGCCTGCGCACCTGGCGCGCCTGGCGCGCCTGGCGCACCTGGCGCACATGGCTCGCGTGGCCCGCCTGGCGCACGTGGCGCACCTGGCGCGCCTGGCGCGCCTGGCGCACCTGGCGCGCCTGGCGCACGTGGCGCGTCTGGCGCACCTGTCGCACTTGGCGCACCTGGCGCACGTGGCGCACCTGTCGCACATGGTGCACGTGGCGCGGCTGGCGCACCTGGGGCACTTTGCGCACCTGGCGCGCCTGGCGCACTTGGCGCACGTGGCGCGCCTGGCGCGCCTGGCGCGCCTGGCGCGCCTGGGGCGCGTGACGCACCTGGCGCGCCTGGCGTGCCTGGCGCACCTGGAGCACCTGGCGCACCTGGCGCACCTGGCGAGCCTGGCGCACCTGGCGCACCTGGCGCGCCTGGCGCGCCTGGCGCACCTGTCGCACCTGGCGCGCCTGGCGCAGTTGGCGCGCATGGCGCACCTGGCGCACCTGGCGCACCTGGCGCACCTGGCGCGCCTGGCGCATCTGGCACACCTGGCGCGCTTGGCACACCTGGCGCACTTGGCGCACCTGGCGCGCCTGGCGCACCTGGCGCACCTGGCGCACCTGGCGCACCTGGCGCGGCTGGGGCACCTTGCGGACCTGGCGCGCCTGGCGCACCTGGCGCGCCTGGCGCACCTGTCGCACCTGGCGCGGCTGGCGCACGTGGCGCACCTGGCGCACATGGTGCACGTGGCGCACCGGGCGCACATGGCGCACCTGGCGCACGTGGCGCGGCTGGCGCACCTGGCGCACCTGGCGCACTCGGCGCACCTGGCGCGCATGGCGCACTTGGCGCACCTGGCGCACCTGGCGCACCTGGCGCACTTGGCGTATCTGGCGCGGCTGGCGCACCTGGCGCACATGGCGCGGTTGGCGCACCTGGCGCACCTGGCGCACCTGGCGCTGTTGCACCTGGCTGGCCTGGCGCGCCTGTTGCACCTGGCGCGCCTGGCGCGCGTGGCGCACCTGGCGCGCCTGATGCACCTGACGCACCTGGCGCACCTGGCGCACCAGGAGTCCTTGGGATTCCCTGGGTTTCCTAGGGATGTTTAGGGATGACCACAGATTCTTGAGGATGCCGAGGGATCCCTAAGGAGTCCCAGGGATCCCACAGGAATCCTAGGAATATTTAGAGAGTCCCAGGGATTCCTACAGAGTCGTTCGGCGTCCTAGGGTTTCCTTTGGATTTCTAGGGATCCCTTAGGAGTCTCAGGCATTCCCTAGGATTCCTTAGGATTCCTAAGGATTCTTGAGGATTCCTAGGGATTCCGCAGGATACCTCAGGATTCCGAGGCACTGCTTTGGATTCCTAGGGATTCGTCAGGATTCCATAGGATTCCTAAATATGCTGTATCATTCGTGAGGATTCCATCGGAGTCTCAGGGATCCCGAAGGATTCCCTCGGATTCCTAGGGCTGCCTTAGCATTCGTGAGGATTCCTGGGGATTCCCCAGGGTTCCTAGGGATGCCTTAGCATTCGTGAGGATTCCATAGGATTCCCAGGGATTCCCTAGGATTTCTAGGGGTGCCTTAGCATTCGTGAGGATTCCATAGGATTCCTAGGGATCCCCTAGGATTCCTAGGGATGCCTTAGGAATCCCATGAGGTGTCACAGGATTCCTTAGGAATCCCATGGGATTGCTTAGGAATCCTTAGGAGGAATCCCGTGAGGTGTCAGAGGATTCTTCAGGAACCCAATGGGATTGTTTAGGAATCCTTAGGAATCCCATAGTCTTCCGTCGGATGACGGGAAGCGTCTTCGAGGTACGAGAAGCAAGCGGGACGTTTTGGCTGAATCCTTGAGTATATATATATATATATATATATATATATATCTTTATATCTATGGGTTGCGCGGGCACGGGAGGCGGATGACGGGAAGCGTCTTCGAGGTACGAGAAGCAAGCGGGACGTTCTGGCTGAATCCTTGAGTAAATATATATATATATATATATATATCTTTATATCTATGGGTTGCGGGCTGCACGGCGTTTTTCGTTGGCGGATGACGGGAAGCGTCTTCGAGGTACGAGAAGCAAGCGGGACGTTCTGGCTGAATCCTTGAGTAAATATATATATATATATATATATATATATATATATATCTTTATATCTCTGGGTTGCCGCGCTGCACGGTTTTTCGTTGGCGGATGACGGGAAGCGTCTTCGAGGTACGAGAAGCAAGCGGGACGTTCTGGCTGAATCCTGGGTTGCGGATCGCACGGATTTTTCGTTGCGGATGACGGAAGCGTCTTCGAGGTACGAGAAGCAAGCGGGACGTTCTGGCTGAATCCTTGAGTAAATATATATATATATATATATATATATATATATATATATATCTTTATATCTATGGGTTGCGGGGCCGCACTTGATTTTTCGTTGGCGGATTCCCCAAAATGGCCGTTTCGCTCGAGACATCCTCGAAAAATCGAGATGTTGGAGGCTATCGTCTCCAACGTTTTATGTTAAAAATGACGGTTTCGCTCGAGACATCCTCAAAAAATCGGGATGTTGCCAAATATCAAAAATTTTTGTTATGACGAAAAATGAGCGTTTCGCTCGAGACATCCTCGAACAACTGAGATGCCGACAGAGGTGTTTTACAACCTCTTATGTTAAAAATGACGTTTTCGCTCGGGACGTCCTCAGAAAATGAGCAGGAGCACGATTTGAGGACAAAAAGGAGCACGGCAGACCACATAGGACCACGGCAGACTCCACAGGAGCACGGCAGACCACAAAGGGAGCACGGCAGACTCCACAGGAGCACGGCAGACCACAAAGGGAACACGGCAGACCACACAGGAGCCCGGCAGACCCCACACGAATACGGCAGACCCCAAAGGAGCACGGCAGACCACACAGGAGCACGGCAGACCACACAAGCGCACGGCAGGCCACACAGGAGCACGGCAGACCACACAGGAGCACGGCAGACCACAAAGGAGCACGGCAGACCACACAAGAGCACGGCAGACCCCACACGAATACGGCAGACCCCAAAGGAGCACGGCAGACCACACAGGAGCACGGCAGACCACACAAGCGCACGGGTCCGTAGCCATTTTGGCTCAAGCCAGCTTGTTCAGGCGTGCTTGGGCAGGCGATGGCGCGGGAGGTTCTGCGGGGCGCGGCTGGTGCCCGTGCCTCGGCAGACCGTCTGGTGCAGAAATTGGTCAAGCAGCACGCGGAGGCCCGCGAGGAGGCCGACTCCCTGAGGCGCACCCTTCGGCAGCTCCTGGGCGGCTTCGAGGTTCTCATCGGGGACGCGGAGCTGGCGGACCGCGTGGCGGCGCTGATTCCTGCCTTGCGCGCACTCCTTAAGGGCGAGACGCCCTCGCCCGAGGACGTGCTCAGGCGCAACGTCGCGCTACACGCCGACGCCGAGGGCGAGAGCGTGGCAGAGGCGCGGCCCGCGCGCCTTCGGCAGATGCAGAGGAGTGCGCGTCTCGAAGCTCGTCTGCAGGGCGTCGGTGGCGCGGAGGTGCTCGGGCGGAAGCTGTGCGCCGTGGAGGGCAACCCGGCCGTGCTTCGCGAGCAGGCTGCCCCGTTCTGGCCGCGGCACCCCCCAGGAGTCTGGGAGCAGCTGGGCGGCGCCGGCTGGGAGAGCAGGACTGCGAGCGGTGCTGCACGCGCGGAGGCGCGGCCGCCGCGGGCGCGGGACGCCTTCCTCACGGTCCAGCGCGTTGGGCCTTGGGAGACGCTGCCCCCCGTGTCCATCCGCTGCACGTGTGGCGCCGTGGTCTTCGCCTCGGCTGGTCTTCACGCGCGTACTGACGCTGCGGCTGGTGCTGGAGGGCCCCTGCCGACGGGCTCCGCGGGCTCGGGTGGTGGTCACGTTGAGGCCGTCTCCAGCCCCGCGGGCAATGCGGCCGACTCGGCCGAGTTCGACTACCAGGAGGTGGGTGCGGCCGAAGCTGAAGTGGATACGGCCTGCTCGGTGTCGGAGGCGGCGCCACAGGCCAGCACTGCGGTTCTGGCGTACCTGCACGCTCACCCTGCGGCGCTCCTCTCGGGAGGCGGCGGGGCCCTCGCGGCTCCTGTGGCTGGCGGTACTGGTCCAGGCGCTGGTTTCGAGGGCAGCCGCGTCCGCAGGAAGCGCGGTGCCAGCGCGGGGCGGCGCGCCCGTCGCGTCCGCTTCGACCTGCGTCCCGTCGTCATCGGCACGGCCTTCGAGGAGGAGTCGGTGGAGGCCCCCCCGCGCGGAGGCAGGGCTGGCGGCGTGGACGAGCCCGTCCGCGGTCTCTGGGCCTTTTTGGACGGCCTCTCGGTAGCATCGATCGCCTGTGTTGCTCACGGGCCCTCGCTCGCGCTCGAGAGGCTCTTCGTCCTTGCCGAGGCCCAGGTGCAGGACGGTTAGCCTTGCGTGCGGACGCTAATTCCGTTTGCTCCGTGCATTAGCATTTCTTGTATTTGTATGTGTACGTGAGCTTGCAACACTTCGCTGTTGTCTCTGGAGCTACGAGGGCTGTGAGTGAGTCCTTCCTCCGTTGCCTTGCGTGCGGACGCTAATTCCGTTTGCTCCGTGCATTAGCATTTCTTGTATTTGAATGTGTGCGTGAGCTAGCTTTCGGTGCAGCTTCGCTGCTTCTGCATGCCTCTCGGCTCTGCCCGCCCTCGTGGCCCTGGGGCCTAGGCGCCCCCGTTGGCCCTGGCGGCCTGCCCTCGGTGAGGCCCGAAGCGGCCCCCCGTGAGGGTGTGCTGGAGGTTGGCCCGAAGCGGCCCCTCGGGGAGGGCGGCCCGAAGCGGCCCCCTCCTGCTGGCCCTGGAGGCTCCTGGGAGCGAGCCTCGGGCCCACCTTTTTTCCAGCCTTTAGAGGCCCCGCAGCCCACAGCCCACACAAGCGCACGGCAGACCCGACAGGAACACGGCAGACCCAAAACGAGCACGGCAGAGCCGACAGGAGCACGGCAAACCCCGCAAGAGCACGGCAGACCGCACAGGAGCACGGCAGACCACACAGGATCACGGCAAACCCCACAGGAGCACGGCAGTCCACACAGGAGCACGGCAGTGGTGTTGCTGGTTTGGTCCCCTCGGGATACCGCATTGACGTGTTGCTGGTTTGCCCCCCCCAGGATACCTTCTTGACGTGTTGCTGGTTTGTCCCCTCAGCACCTTCTTGACGTGTTGCTGGTTTGCCCCCTCAGGATGACTTCTTGGCGAGTGGCTGGTTTTGCCTCAGGGTAACTTATTGAAGTGTTGGTGGTCGACCACCTCAGCACCTTCTTGGCGTGTTGCTCGTTTGCCCCCCTCAGGATAACCTTTGACGTGTTGCTGGTTTGCCCCGTCAGGATAACTTCTTCACGTGTTGCTGGTTTGCCCCCACAGGAGCACGGCAGACACGGCACCCCACACGAGCACGGCAGACCAAAGAGACGACACAAGGAGCACAGCAGATCCCGCAGGAGCAGGGCAGACACCACACGAGCACGGCAGATCCCAAATGAGCACGGCAGACACAGAAGCACTGCAGACCACACAAGAGCACCGCAGACCTCACAGGAGCACGGAAGACCCCACAGGAGCACGGCAGACCCCACAGGAGTACGGCAAACCACAAAGGAGCACGGCAGACCACAGAAGCACGGCTAACCACACAGGAGCACGGCAGACCACACAGGAGCACGGCAATCCCCACAGGAGCACGGCAGACCGCGCGCAGGTACAACATAAACGCGCCTTTTGTTGTACCCCGAACGCCGCTGGCGTTTCCCCCACAGGAGCACGGCAGACCACACAAGCTGGCGGGAAACCCCAAATGAGCACGGCAGACCACAGGAGCACGGCAGACCACACAGGAGCACGGCAGACGCCACAGGAGCACGGCAGACCGCGCAGGAGCACGGCAGACCACACATGAGCACGGCAGACGCCACAGGAGCACGGCAGACCCCATAGGAGCACGGCAGACCATAGAAGAGCACGGCAGACCAACAGGAGCACGGCAGACCACACAAGAGCACGGCAGGCCACACAGGAGCACGGCAGACCACACAGGAGCACGGCAGACCACAAAGGAGCACGGCAGACCACACAAGAGCACGGCAGACCCCACAAGAGCACGGCAGACCCCACAGGAGCACGGCAGACCCCACAGGAGCACGGCAGAGCAGACCCAAAGGAGCACGGCAGACCACACAGGAGCAAGGCAAACCACAGGAGCACGGCAGACCACACAGGAGCACGGCAGACCCCACAGTAGCAAGGCAGACCCCAAAGGAGCACGGCAGACCACCGGAGCACGGCAGACCACACAGGAGTACGGTTAGAGTCTGGGGGCCGCCTCGCCTGGCATGAGTTCTAGGAGCGGGCGCAGGGACTTCGGCGAGGCCCGTTGTGTGTTTCAGCCCCCGCGTGAGGTCAGGCCGTTTGGCTTTGCAATGCGTGTTTTTTTCGAGTGCGCAATGCCGTGGGTGCTCTTCATAGCCTTCGACGATTACGGTCGCTCTCTCACGTGCTCTATGTTGTTGGCACATGTTGTATTGGGCTCAATGTGGTTGCAAAGCTGCGGCAGGGTGTGCGCGGTGGAGGTGCTTCTATTAGCCCTGTGAGATCCAACTTTCTAGTAGGTCATCCTCGGGGCGATTCTTACCGATGTTTATTTTCGGCATGCTCCGACTGGCGTTCTATATGATGTTCTGTGGGTCTCTTGTTTGTCCAGCGCGTGCTGCTAAAACGATCAAGCATTGCAAAGGGTATCACAAGACCCGCCGTGGTGAGGAGCCCCCAAAGGCTCAGTCCGGTTATGACGGTTACTGCAAGTCTTGCTACAAGGAGAAGCATCCTACTCTGTACCGCCAGAAGCAGGAGAAGAGAAAGGGATGTTGTCGATTCTGCGGTGCGCAGCGCGAGCTCAGCGGTGGCATGTGTAAGCCGTGTTATCGGTCTCGCAGCTGCCCTGAGTGTACCTGGTGCAACGAGGAAGACGAACCCACGTTGTGCGTGGCCTGCGAGTCACGCGAGAAGAACCCCCAGGCCGCGGGAAAAAGATGTGCTATGGCGTGTCCGACGCACACTTCGCCTGAGGAACGCAATCTCAAGCTGTGCATCGAGTGCTTCAAATCCCGGATCCCTTGTTCGCACTGCGCTGCGCCGACTCCTGCTGGCTCTTTGACTCGGTCGAAGTGTAGCAACGAATCTTGCGACGTGTCTGTGGTGTTCTGTAGTGCGTGTTCTGGCATGTCTGACGGGCAGTCGACAGCGAAGTGCCAGTCGTGCTGGGCCCAGGACGGTCGGTGCCGCGTGCACTGCGGTCGGGTGCGAGCGCAAACTAATCTGATATATCGGCGAGCTTGCAGGCCCTGTTTCGCTGCGCGCTCGTGCGCCGTCTGCCACGCTGTGCCGCCGGCGTCGCTGGCGACCCCGCAGTGCGAGATGTGCGACAACCTCGCTCTGTGGTGTCCTGAGTGCACCACACCAGAGCAGCGGGCGGCGGGATTGTGTACAACACATTGGGATTCCCCCGAGTGCGCATTCTGTTACAGGACCGAGGACCCCGCCACCAAGGAACCGCTGCAGGTGTCCATGATCGAATGCGGAACAGAGAGCTGCTCCAAAGTCGTGAGGAGCTGCTCTGTGTGCTCGTCGCATTTCAAGAAGAGCGCGGCGCTGTGCGACGTGTGCTGGAAGGCAGCTGGCTCCAAGTGCATCGGATGCGGTGTCACACCAGCCCGGCACGCCAGGGTATATCAGCACTTTTGCAAGAAATGCTTCGGGGAGGAGAGGCTGGCAGACCTCGTCCGTGACGAGAGCAGGAAGTTCCTCGCCGACGAGCCGCGACCGCAGAGGCTCGACGACGACGTCGCCCGATCCGCACCCGCTTTGCAGGTACTCCTCGCTCTGCAAAGCCCGAGCCCGGGTCCTTGCCGAAGTACGCGGAGACGCCCGAGTACCTGGACCCGAACCATTGCCGCTTCTGCAAGCAACCGTGGGGCGGCTCCGGCGACGACGACAAGCGACGGCACCTGCTCGAGGAGTGCAGGCATGATCTCCATCAACGAGACGGCGAAGACATTCTCCAGACGTACCGGAGGACAGTGCTGGAACGGGCGCTCGCAGAGGGCCTGGACGCGGTCAGTCCGCAGGTGGGCAGGTTTTGTGTGGCGCAGTACAAGAATGCGCAGACGGACGAACGATGCGTTCATGATGCCTGTGCCGTTTGCTGTCGAAAGACGCCCAAGTGCGACTTGAATCGAGTTCACATCCCATCGTCGAGCAGCGACACGTGCCCGGAGTGGTTATCGTGGTCCGATGAGTTCTGGAATGAAAACAAGGAGACGTGGTACGAGCAGGTCGACAAGCTCCTCAGCATTGAGCAGTACTTGAAAAAGTTCTTCACGGTGTCTGAGCGAGCCCAGGAAGCGCGGGAGTGCGTGGAGGCGTGCAGCCGCGGGGAGCCGCACGAGCTCGGGTTCACGAAGGTGGAGGACGCACAGAACTGGGTCGACCGCGTGCGCCGTTGGGAAGACAATCTGAGGAGAGACATGCGGGAGCACTCCGTTGTCTCTCCAGGTGGCGCTCTCTCTCGTTGTCCCAGCTTCTGTTGTCGTTAGAACCTCTTATGTCAAAAATGACGTTTCCGCTCGGGACGTCCTCAGAAAATGAGCAGGTGGTCTGCAGACCATACAGGAGCACGCCAAACCACACAGGAGCACGGCAGACCACACGTTCGCACGGCAAACTCCACAGGAGCACGGCAGACACCAAAGAAGCACGGCAGTGGTGTTGCTGGTTTGGTCCCCTCGGGATACCGCATTGACGTGTTGCTGGTTTGCCCCCCCCAGGATACCTTCTTGACGTGTTGCTGGTTTGTCCCCTCAGCACCTTCTTGACGTGTTGCTGGTTTGCCCCCTCAGGATGACTTCTTGGCGAGTGGCTGGTTTTGCCTCAGGGTAACTTATTGAAGTGTTGGTGGTCGACCACCTCAGCACCTTCTTGGCGTGTTGCTCGTTTGCCCCCCTCAGGATAACCTTTGACGTGTTGCTGGTTTGCCCCGTCAGGATAACTTCTTCACGTGTTGCTGGTTTGCCCCCCTCAGCATCTTTTGGACCTGTGGCTGGTTTGCCCCCTCAGGATAACTTCTTGACGTGTTGCTGGTTTGCCCCCCCCAGGATAACTTCTTGACGTGTTGCTGGTTTGCCCCCCAGGATAACTTCTTGACGTGTTGCTGGTTTGCCCCCCTCAGCACCTTCTTGACGTGTTGCTGGTTTGCCCCTTCGGGATAACTTCTTGACGTGTTGCTGGTTTGCCCCCCAGGATAACTTCTTGACGTGTTGCTGATTGGTCCCCTGGGTAACTTCTTGACGTGTTGCTGGTTTGCCCCCCAGGAGCAAGGCAGACCACACAGGAGCACGGCAGACCACATTGCGATTTTTTGAGGATGTCTCGAGCGACATGGCCGTGGTCTGCCGTGCTCCACACGTCAGCACGCCCCGTTGTCTCTCCAGGTGGCGCTCTCTCTCTCGTTGCCCCAGCTTCTGTTGTCGTTGGAACCTCTTATGTCACAAATGACGTTTTCGCTCGGGACGTCCTCAGACAATGAGCAAGTGGTTTGCCGTGCCCCCGTGTGGAGCACGGCAGACCACGGCCATTTCGCTCGAGACATCTTATGTCACAAATGACGTTTTCGCTCGGGACGTCCTCAGAAAATGAGCAGGTGGTCTGCCGTGCCCCCGTGTGGAGCACGGCAGACCACCGCCATTTCGCTCGAGACATCCTCAAAACATCGAGGTGTGGTCTGCCGTGCTCCTGTGTGGTCTGCCGTGCTCCTGTGGTCTGCCGCGCTCCCCGCAGGAGCACGGCAGACCGCGCGCAGGAACCGAGAGGAGCACGGCAGACCAAAACGAGGAGCACGGCAGACCAGGCTGTTGTTTGTGCGCACCCCAGGTGATCCGAATCATCGG